CCTCTGGATCGGCTGCGGTGGCAGAGGAGCATCCATGATGGCCGCCGCGGAGGAGTAGAGCCCAGGCATGTGGTCCAGTGGGAAGCGGTCCGGCTTCGGGTTCGAGACCACCTCGTCCAGGGTGAGGAGGGAGCCGATCTCCGAAGCCTCTCCATCTTCGCAGTCACCCCACTCCGCGGGCACGGGTGGAAGGTCGAGTGGGGCCCAGTCAGTCTCAGACTCCTCGTCCTGAGAGGAGTCCGGACGGGGCGCTACAGCGGCGAGGTACGCACGCCTGCGTTTGCTCTCCTCCCTGGGGAGAGCGAGACACGAGGTGCAGGTGGCGTCAACGCCGCATGGCCCGGGCCCAGGCACATGAAGCAGCTGGAGTGCTGGTCCGTGCGCTGGAGCCTGACTCGACACGTCGAGCAACGACGACGTCCGACGCCGGAGGGCGAAGGGGAACTCGGACGAACAGCAGAAGACATCTCTCAGAATGAAGTGAGTACTGTGGTAGATCTCAATCGGCGCCAGAGTGAAAGGGGGGGTGCGGCCTTGTGCAGGGGCCTTTATAGAGGAGGGTCGCTGGTGATTGGAGCAAATTATTTTGACCTCTGGCGTGTGGCCTGGGGGTCATGCGTGATATCCCACTAGCGAAGTCCTAAGGGACGTAGCACCATGACGTAGAAAAGCATCCACAAGAACAGTTCAATTTGTAGACTACATGGGTAGTATTGCAGTTGGCAAAATGCAGACACTTAAAGGAACACTGACTGGAGGAGTCATTCAAAGTTTTTGTTTTGTTTATGTTGCCACAATGATTACACAAACCACACTGGAAAGCAGTGATGGGAATAACGGCGTTACTAGTAACGGCGTTACCAACGCCGTTACTTTTTTCAGTAACGAGTAATCTAACTAATTACTTTGACAGTAACTATAACGCCGTTATCATTTCCGACATCCCGTTACTGCGCGTTACTCAAGACGCACAATGAACGTGTTGTCATGAGAGAAGGGAGGATGAGAAAACCTCTCAGCAATTATTGGCTGATGTAAAACATATTTCCTTTACAATCTACATGTCTACAGTTGAGAGGATGGCTCATAAATTGTGTTTTTGAAACAAATATGGGTCTTAATCGCGCTCAACCACGGCTTGTATCACCGTGAGGTCAGCCACAGAGGAGCGCATGTGAGCGCAGAAGTCGGCTGCATACAATTCCATCGATAAGCTCCTTGCTCTTCCTGGTTTATCTGCTAAGGACAGCAACAGGTTTGGCTAACATACATATAACACATTTTACATAATCTAAAATGCACATAGGGTAATTTTTCAATTACTATAGGAATGATAAGAAAGAGGTGAAGTGTAAGACGGTTGATTTTAGAAATTGGATGCAGCCGGCTGCAGCAAAACAGAGGAGTTTACGGAGGACACACGCGTTTTGTTTTACTTTTTAAAACTCATTGGACTCATTTCCAAATGGAGGATTACATATCTACGCTCAAACCATTCACTGGATTTAAACAAGGAACTGGTCTGAACCGAAGTGGACTGTGCAGGTCATTTATAAGGTATAGCTATAAGGTAAGACCCATAACTCATAGTTTTGCGTTTTGTATGAACAAACAATGCGGGCATAAAACATATTTTGCTGTAGCCAAACAAATTGTCCACTTGATTTATATGATGTATATGTTCATCTGATTGGACTGAAGTCAGTGCTTCACCAGCCTCACCGCTCGTCACCGGTGTTTCCACATTCACAGTGGCGGGCTTTACAGCACAGTGAGAGATGAAGAGTGAACAGGACTTCAGCAGCAAAACAGCCTTTTCTAGATGGAAATATTGGCACTGTTAAAGGTAAAAATGCGCACGTCGGGTGCACATTATGTTCCAGAACAAAACGAAAAAGTAACGCAATAGTTACTTTTACTGGTAACTAGTTACTTTTATAGTGGAGTAACTCCGTTAGTAACTCAGTTACTTTTTGGGAGAAGTAACTAGTAACTATAACTAATTACTTTTTCAAAGTAACGTGCCCAACACTGCTGGAAAGTACCAGTGTTTCCCACACATAGACTAATCTGTGGCGCACCGCCACAGATTAGAGACCGCCCGCCACAAATTGCGTTTCGTATTATTATATATATATATTTTTTTGTTACGCTATTTAAAACATGCATCGTCTAGTGCCGCCGCAGCGGTCAATTTGACAGCGGGGAGGGGGGTTTAAAATGTGGCGGCCCTTCGTAACTCTCACTCAAGCTACGCGTCTCTCCCACATACAGAGACCTACACACACACAGCCCCTCCCCTTCGTGCACACCGCGTGTCTCCGTCTCCATCAGCGATCATCGCTGTAAGCAGCTGTGTCTATTAATTTACCGCGGTAAAGTGGCCCGCATCTTTCAGCTATATGAACATGCGGCCCGCATCGGGGAAAAGACGGTGCGCGTTTTGTTGAGAACTTACGGTAACAGCGGAACGTCCTTTCGGAGTCACCCATTTTTATCGAACAGAAAGCGCGCTGGGGTCAGGGAGACACGTTTTTGTGATTAAAACCTTATAGAGATGCCACCCGGCACACATAGCACCAGCCCCCTACGATTCCTCCTGCAGGTTGTGAGTCCTCAGGAGGATAGCCACTCTATTGTTTACATGTATAAAGTACACAATTTGGTCCGCTAGTGCAATTTTCAAGTATTGTAACTATTTACTGGAATAAGGTGTGCGACTAATTTCACTTGACTCATGACCTTATTATTGCCCTCTGCCACTGTACCAAAGACCAGAAACTTTTACTGTAGAAATATTGAGAAATATTGAGGTAAAGTAGCCATTTTGGTCCAAAATACCTCCAAAATAGTCAAAACATGTCACTTTTGATCTACTGTAACTTTTTACTGTAAAAAGGTGTGCGACTAATTTCACTGGATTCATGACCTCAAGATTGTCCTCTACCACTGTACCAAAGACCAGACACTTTTACTGTAGAAATATTGAGAAATATTGATTTAAAGTAGCCATTTTGGTCAAATAGCCTAAAAATGGTCAAAACATGTCACATTTGATCTACTGTAACTTTTCACTGTAAAAAGGTGTGCAACTGATTTCACTGGATTCATGACCTCAACATTGCCTTCTACCACTGTACCAAAGACCAGACACTTTTACTGTAGAAATATTGAGAAATATTGAGGTAAAGTAGCCATTTTGGTCCAAAATACCTCCAAAATAGTCAAAACATGTCACTTTTGATCTACTGTAACTTTTTACTGTAAAAAGGTGTGCGACTTAATTTCACTGGATTCACGACCTCATGATTGCCCTCTACCACTGTACCAAAGACCAGAAACTTTTACTGTAGAAATATTGATTTAAAGCAGCCATTTTGGTCCAAAATAGCCTAAAAATTGTCAAAACATGTCACTTTTGATCTGCTGTAACTCATTACTGTAAAAAGGTGTGCGACTAATTTCACTGGATTCATGACCTCAAGATTGTTCCCCCCCCCCGCCGACGACCACCACACATTGCCTTCAAACCTGTGGGAAACACTGAGTACCCACAGGTTTCGGGAAAAATGTGGGTCTCTGAGCTGGAAGGTAGTTTTTTACCAGTTTGTCTTTGAGTGTTGGGGCCCTTTTGATGGCGAATGAGGGTGGATCCGGAAACACAGAGGAGAGTGACTGATCGCTCCGAAGGATGTCCCAATTGTTGGTAATAATGTCTTTGATTTCCTTTGTAAGATTGGTGTGCTTTAAAGAAACAAACAGTTTATTGTCACTTGATTTTATAGTTTGCTTTTTGTTCAAAAGTTGTGTTCTTTCCATGGATTTTGCTTTGTTACGTGCTTGATTCAAAGTCTTTGTGCCGTAGCCACGTCGTTGAAATCTTTTACATAGCACATTGGCTTGAAGGTAAAACTCACTGTCCGTATCACAGATCCTCCTGAGTCTTTGAAACTGACCATAAGGAATATTCGAAATCAAGTGATTGGGATGAAAACTGTCGATCAGTCTCTTTCCTGAAAATTGAGGTGACTGCTCAGGGAGTTTTAGTAGCTTCAGAATTCTGGGAGTGTTATTTTTACACAGGATGGAGATGATCTTTACTATAATACTATTAAAACTTGTGTATCATTCAACATGTATTGAACGATACACTACATCTTTTATGTGTGTACACTTTCTACATTTACTGCAGTGGTTGGTATTATTTTTCTGTTATTTGACTAATTGACTATTTATTTAAACAGTACAAAGGTAATTAACATGTTACATTCCGTGGCCTTTCCTGATGCTGTCCAATTAAAATATTACTGCTTTTCTCCAACTTTAAGTTTAATATGTTCATTATTACAATTCATTGCAATATTGTAGGCCTTGCTCTAACCCAAACATATTTCATGATAAAATATTCAAAATGTGCAAGAACTAAAGTCAATATAGTGACATTAGCTAAATTGTGTTTGTGCAGGTTTGAAATACACAATCATTTCATATAATAAGAACAAGGGGTTAGGCAATGTTAAAATATACAAAGGTCAAAGAACATCATAACAATGTAGGAAAATGAGTTGGTTTATGTTGCTAACACATTGTAATTATATTGGGAAATATACAGTAAGTGCTTGTGTTTTGCAAGAAAGGAAGTGAACTAATAATATTAAGACATTGAACAAGGTTTGAACTTCCTCATTTTCCAGAAGCAATGAATAAGATATGTGACACAATTTCCAAACAGTATGAGGTGTTTTGTTTTCACATAACAACTGTGGTGTTTCAAATATAATGTACGTGCGAAAAAAAAAAAAAAACAGGTATCTCCTTAGAGTTTTCAAAAGGCCTCAGACAAGCTGCCAGTCACATCGGCCCAGCCACTGTCACTGCCCATTAGATTAGACCATGTTGAGTCCTCGTCTCACAGAGATAAGAAATGCTTTCCTGTGGAGTAGTCTTCTTCACTCTGCAGTTTCACATTTATCGGCTTGAGTCTATTTACTCGTGTCCACTCAGGGATTTGACATGTATCTCTTCGGGAGGAGGCTGCTCTTGGCGCAGGGGAAATAACTGTCACTGAAAGAGCGCTGGTTGGACTTGTGTTGTGCTGTCCAACGCCACACTTCCAGAGACTTCTCCAGATCAGGAATAATGTCTGGAACGATCATCTGTTCCACCAAAAACACGACCGTCTCCACCACCATGAGAAGGAACCAGCCCAGGGCCCCGATCCAGTATGAGGAGCCCAGGACAGAGAGGTCCTCGTGGATCTGCTCTCGATGGTGGAAGGTGAACAGAGACCAGCTGAAGAGAAAGAAGAAACCTGAAAGAAAAGACATAGATGCAATATAAGTAATTTAATAAAAACTCATGGAGAAACATGCTACAACTTTCTGAAGGTGACTCATCATCAAACTAATGATTCCGCGGAAATAAAAAGTTACGGTACAACTTGATATGAATGAGTGAGTTAGGGTTAGAGCTAATTAATGATTTGTGGCCGGAGTTCAAGAATCAATTACCTTTATTAATGATGAGTTTCATACTGAACATGGACATCATCATGACTCATCATTATTCCATCCATTCATTTTCTTCCCTTAATCCATCTGGGGGTGGCAGTCAGAGCTGCACCCAGTTCACAGAGCACCAGCCCCGCACTGATCCTCCTGCAGGCGGTGAGTCCACAGGAAGATGGCTGCTCTGTCGATTGATCTTTCAGCAGGGACTTCAGGCAAAGTGGGGTTCCCAAGTACCCAATGAGAATCAGTGGGAGACGGTGGAGAAGGTCTCGTGGGGGGATCAAACCCACAACCTTCAGGCTCGCAGGCCAGTGCTCTACCAACTGAACCACTGCCCCTTCATGATTAAATAAAGTATGCATCATTACTTAATCAGCACTGATTAGTCTATATCCTATTTTGTCCAAGATCAGAATGATTTGTGTTAATGTATCTAATTATCATGATGGGTTATGATGAGTCATGATTGTTCATGCTGATCATTGTTGCCTCTGGTTTTCATCATGAAGAGTTCATGTTCACCATATCAGGGATCATCATTAATAAAGGTTGTTCACAAAGAAACTCATGCCATGATCCGTTAGTATTAATATTTACAGTCTATGGTTTAACCTCATGATGACCTCATTTATGAATTACCCTGAGCGTGTTCATCATTAATGAACTCATCATGAACTGGAGAATAAATGCATTTGGAGATAAATGATTCAATGTTTTCTGTTTCCACTTCCTTCACGATTCTGAGTCCAGCAGAAAAAGTTACAACACTGTGGAAGATTAAAGCCAAACAAACATTTCCTTGGAAACAAGCTGGGGGAGACCAGGGACCACCCACCAGGACCTACAGTTTATATCCAGGACAAGTACGATTCATGTGGAGATCAAAGCCTGAGCTTTAAACTTTTACTCTATATACTTTTAACCACATCCCAAACAAAATGTGTGTTTTTTGTAACGCAAAACATGATGAATGCAGTGTGCGTCCTTCACATCAGCATCTGTTGTTAAAACATTTATACAAATTCATATCTTTTCAACTAGAATCTTGTAATTATTAATCTAGTTTATAACATAATGAATGTACTTGTTTCCTAATTTATTCAAATGGAGGACAGAGCCATGAGTGTTTTGAGTTTAGAAAACCTGCAAACTAAAACGAATCTTTCACACCACATTCAAAGCCTCACTTGTATTGCATTGGTTTGAATAAATTATAAAAATATGAAAATAGTGAAGACCTGTGGACATCATGGTGAGCAGCAGCAGGGTGCTCGGGTACAGCGCTTGACCCGCCATCAGCAGCGAGCGCGTGTTGGAATAAGAGCGCACCGTCTCTGATGTCCAGCAGAGGGCGAACACGAGACACAGGGCCCCAGTGCTCACAGCCATCAGGAAGGACAGCACCGCGAAGACCCGCTCGGCTTCTAATGCTGCAACATCCAGAGGCACATAGTGAAGACCTACACTGCTTCTTACACTGCAGCATCCATAATCACAGTGAAGACCTGCTCTGCTTCTAACACTGCAACATCCAGAATTACAGTGAAGATCCGCTTGGCTTCTAATGCTGCAACATCCAGAGGCACATAGTGAAGACCTACACTGCTTCTTACACTGCAGCATCCATAATCACAGTGAAGACCTGCTCTGCTTCTAACACTGCAACATCCAGAATCACAGTGAAGACCCGCTTGGCTTCTAATGCTGCAACATCCAGAGGCACATAGTGAAGACCTACACTGCTTCTTACACTGCAGCATCCAGAATCACAGTGAAGACCTGCTCTGCTTCTAACACTGCAACATCCAGAATCACAGTGAAGACCCGCTTGGCTTCTAATGCTGCAACATCCAGAGGCACATAGTGAAGACCTACACTGCTTCTTACACTGCTACATCCAGAATCACAGTGAAGGCCCGCTCTGCTTCTAATACTGTAACATCCAGAATCACAGTGAACACCCTGCAACATCCAGAATCACAGTGAACACCCGCTCTGCTTCTAATACTGCAACATCCAGAATCACAGTGAACACCCGCTCTGCTTCTAACACTGCAACATCCAGAATCACAGTGAACACCCGCTCTGCTTCTAACACTGTAACATCTAGAATCACAGTGAACACCCGCTCTGCTTCTAACACTGCAACATCAGAATCACAGTGAAGACCTGCTCTGCTTCTAACACTGCAACATCCAGAATCACAGTGAACACCCGCTCTGCTTCTACTGCTGCAACACCCAAAAGGACAGTGAAGAACATCCAAACAAAAATCTGCCCACTAACTTTTCTTATCTTTACAAACGCCCAAGAGGTAAAGTGATCACCAGCGTTTGTTTGTTTGTTTGTTTGTCTGTGAACAAAAACTTGGAAACTTACATTTGGAAAATAATCCAAATTGCTGTCTGAAAACTGGATTTAACCCTGTTGAAGCAAATGTAATTTTTTTGGATTTTCTAATAACAAAAATATATATTTTTAGTTTATTGGACTCTTAGTTTTTTTTTTATTATAGGCCTTTACCAAATTGTTGGGATGCAGTTTGATGGTAAGAGTGGCTAAAACCAAGTGAGATGCCCCAAACAGGTAGATTTCAGTTCCAAGCTTCAAGTAGTTTTTTTAAAAGGATAAAAAAATACGATACATTCTTACAAACATAGTTGATAATTACTGAATCCATATTCTTCCGAAGATAATTCAAAACGGAAAAACAACACCTCTGTACTAAGCTCAATTTGTTCACAGATAATCCAACAGTTAATCCTTAATTTTTGTCATAATATTATTATTTTGTTTCAGTATGTCATCCTTATCCAAACAACAAAATCCAGTTTGAACTTATATTTACTTTAGAGCAGAGCCGGACACAAAGCACAAGGTTTAATTGAACAACAGCTACATTTGCAAACATCAAATTCTTCTAAGATTAAACTTTACTTCTTTATATAACTTACTTTTCCTCACTTTTTACAGTGCAATAAAATCTCTGCAAGAAGGAGGGTCACCACCTGGACAGTTGACGAATGCATCTTATCTGAACTTTTATTTTTCTTAATTACACATATATTCAAATGTATTAATGCATTGAGAAGCTGGGGCTGTTTTGCATTGAGAAACATCTGCTTATGAGAAAACCTTGGTTTATATTAAGAGGCCACTTTTAGGCTCCCAGATAAGAAGAAGAATGCTGACCAGGCCATTAAGAAGCAGGCTTGCTTTTACTTTTGAGTCTAGAGATCATAGGTCATGTGGGACATGTGTCTTAGATTTTCAAATATCATGTTATTCTGGTATAAGACCAGGGGCTTTTGTTCATTCGGGGTCTTTTTCCATCGCTGCCATCCTTGCAGGAGACCCAGGCTATGAAGCTTCAGCTTGTCATTTGCATTTATTCTGTTTTATACATTAAATCTTCTTTTTTATATCTAAGCAGATTCTGATCATTTCCATATCACTATCACTGTTGTGCGGGAGGAAAACCCATTTAGCCACATTTACCACAGTACTCTGTATATCAAGATGGCGCATTGACACGGGAGTCCTCCAGCTCTCATGGACATTTATAAGTCAATTTCTAAGCCTATGAAAACAATTCAAAAACATGGTGTACCTTTAAAGCTTTACAAAAAAAAACTTCATGAATCACTGAGGAAATCGAAAAGACCTGTATAGTTAAAAAAAGTTCTTGCAAAAAACAGTGCCTTTCCTGACTCCTGTATTAGAGGCTCCTACACAAAGAATGCTACTGCGGCAAGCTTAAACTTGCTCCACCTGCTTGAAAACCTGCTCTTTTGCAACCCACCAGTGCTCGTGATAAGAATTCTCCCCAGAGGTGCATGAAAAGTCTGCCTAAAAGCCTCCCCCCGCCTCCCCCTCTCTCGCCCTCTCTCTCGCCCTCTCTCTCCATCACAAACAGACGGCTTGTGCATGACTAAATACCGCTCTTTGCCCTGTAACATTTCATGCTTCGCGTTCTGTTGCTGCCGGAGCTGTCAGACCGAGACCTGACAGACACAGAATGGACTTGACAGGAAGGTGAGAAGGGCCCCGCTTGCTTACCATTGAAGACGCTGCCTTCTCCGCTGTGGGGCAGGTGACTTCTGGTTTTGTTGCCTTGCGGTGTCCATAGACCCCGCTCGTCCAGCCAGAAAGGGGTCCAAATGGCATAAGACACGCACAGGCAGCCCCCCAGCCCCACACAGGACTGGGCGAAGCGGAAGCGGCTGATGGAATCCTTCAGCTCCACAAATGTCATGCTTTAGGCTGAATGTGCAACAGAAAATAAGTCAATAATAGAGATAATAATTGAAATGCAGAGGAGGTAAAAGTTCTAGTCTTAGGTATGGAAGTAGGAAGTCTGGTACATGTATTGTTCCAGTGTTGGTTCTTATACTATAGTATAAGAACCAATATATATATATCTATAATATTAGTAGTTACAGTAATGAAAAAATGATTATCTGGCTTAGGAAAAAGTTTTAAAATACAATATTGTTTCATGTACCAGGGATCAAGTAAAAAATAATGAACTGTCATTATACTGTATGTATTTGAGATATTCCAAGTATTGTATTCCTGTAGCTACAAAATTGTACTAATTGTTTTGTTATTGGCAAGAAATTTGGACAAGTTTTCTCAAGAAGGGGTGAAACCTTATTTGTATGGCACTCAAATACATCTGGCTTAAAAAAAAAAAAAGTATTTGGTAAATAGAAAACTGTGAGCCATTTTGAAATTTGTCTAATATTTTACTGTTATATAAATATTTTTTTCAAATTAACTTTTATACTGGCAGATTATGACAAAGAAAACATCTAGAGGTTAAGCCAAAAGCTGCTGAATTAATATCTGACCTTAGAAGCCTTGCAATGATTCAATTCACTTAGAAGCACGGCTAACCGCTTCAAACCCGTGTTTATGTTGTGTCCCAGACTTATAAAGCAACTAGTCATTTTAAAACGCAAGACGTAGAAAGAACAAATATTTGGTTTCAACAGTTGTTACTTGGTTTCTCTGTCAAAGCAAAGACTGGACTTACCACTCGAAAAGCAAAATAATCCAAAAAAACAACAAGTCCAACTGTAATTCTTGCCTTCTTCCAATCTTGGTTTACTGTAATCCTGACATGACAAGACAGCGCTCCTCTGCAGCTCTTTTGTAAACTCCACCCACATGGTATCAATGGAACTTCCCAGCGTTGTCATCTACGCTTCCTGACGAGGCCTCCACTGAAGCCCACGCACTGTAAGAGAAAGTAAAAGTGTACAGCAGCATCCAAGACAACTGCAAGGAGGTTTGGGGACCCAGAGACAGTTCAAATGATTCAAAACAATACAACTTTATACATAACTAGAACAAACAGATAGTAGGGATTTGGTGGCAGTACATTGGAAGCGCTTTTGTGACACTCAGACACTATACATTGCATTATTGATTCGCTACAGCGTTTTGTAAAAGAAAAAGAGTGAGAAAAGGTATTACGACTTGCAAATTTAACCACAGCACAAAGAAGCAGTGACACGTGAAGTCAAATATATGGAGATGTCCAAAGCTCTTGTTGCATCATGTCTGCATGTACTAAATGTAATTATTGTATACAAATCAACTGCGGTAAAAGTATTGAAATTATTCCCTCACTTACTTGCATGCAGGCATAACTTAACCGAGTGATGTCACATTTTTGTTGACAAAGTAAAAGGAAAAGTTGAATGACAAACTGGGTAAATATTCAGGTAAAATAACATGTAGAAAAACAACCAAAAAGCATGAAGCCCACCACCAGAGTAGTTCAGAAATGCATATTTTGGTAAAAACTGTCTTTCGGTACTATATAGAACAAAAGTAACAAGTTACTCCCAACACAGTTTATTTCAGGTGGTAACAAGAGACTCTTCCTCAAGTGGAGGAGTTCAAGTTTCTCGGGGTCTTGTTCACGAGTGAGGGAAGGATGGAGCGTGAGATTGACAGGCGGATCGGTGCAGCGTGCGCAGTGATGCGGTCGCTGTATCGGACCGTTGTGGTGAAGAGGGAGCTGAGCCGAAAGGCAAAGCTCTCGATTTACCGGTCAATCTTCGTTCCCTCCCTCATCTATGGTCATGAGCTTTGGGTAATGACCGAAAGAACAAGATCGCGGATACAAGCGGTCGAAATGAGCTTCCTCCGCAGAGTGGCTGGGCGCTCCCTCAGAGAGAGGGTGAGGAGCTCAGTCACACGGGAGGAGCTCGGAGTAGAGCCGCTGCTTCTCCACGTCGCGAGGAACCAGTTGAGGTGGCTCGGGCATCTGTTCCGGATGCCTCCTGGACGCCTCCCTGGGGAGGTGTTCCGGGCACGTCCCACTGGGAGGAGGCCCCGGGTAAGACCCAGGACACGCTGGAGGGACTATGTCTCTCAGCTGGCCTGGGAACGCCTTGGGGTCCCCCCGGACGAGCTGGAGGAAGTGTGTGTGGATAGGGAAGTCTGGGCGTCCCCCGCGACCCGGCAACGGATTAAGCGGAAGAAAATGGATGGATGGAACAAGAGACTATTAAAAACTGTTTCAACTTGTTTTTGAAAATTGCAAGTCATGAAACCTTTTTTTCAATGTGACATGCAGGACTTTGAAGAGCGCTTTGACTTTTCACATGTTTTTACTATTTCAAATATGTTTTTTGATCCGCCACACACACACAGTTATAGAGACGAACAGTTTGGCTATTTAAGAGAGATTTATTTTATCATTAGCGAAAGCCCGGTACCCCCTTCTCAACATTGTACAATCTCTTTATTATACTATTAGCTCCATTCTTAATGCACTGTGGTTATTTATGGTTTTAATGTATTTAGATACCTGTGTGATTGTCATGTATGTTTTTTTTAAATTTCCATAGGGTCTTAATGTTTGTTTTTTAAGCCCTGTGGGATTTTAATGTTCATGATTCATGTTTTATGTGATATGGGCTTTTTGTTTGTTACCTCGTGTAGAGTTTACAATAGTGATTTTTTTGAGTTGCTGTAATAATAAAAAAGAAAAAAGTTGATACTACATTCACTACAAAACTTGATGAAAAATTGTCTCAAAATTGGCAAAATGCATCTTAATTTAAGCACATTTTGACTGCCTTAAAACAAGATCTGCCAACGGGATAAAGCAAAATTATCTTGTTTTAAAAATATTCAAGAAATGTCTCCCTTGGAATGAGAAAATAAAGCAGCAGTTCTTTAATTAGGCCTAAATAGCGTTGTCCCATTGGCAAATCTTGTTTTAACACAGTCAGAATGCACTCAAATTAAGATACAAACCACTTTTACCTCATATCATTTTTTGCAGTGTTATAAAAGTATTTTCAGGTGTGATTCATGAGATGGTTTTTGCTCGACAGTGGCTTACAACAGGAAGGACAGAAACAGCTGAAGCGTCACACCTCCACAGCGCAGAGTGTCATAGGTTTCCCCACGTCATTTTAAACACCACCACCTTCACTTTCCTTTTGAGTAACGGAACCAGCCACCTGAAACCGAGTCCTTGTTTGAACTGTTGCACAAAGAAACGCACATATCTTAAGAATTATAGCTTATTTTATTGATTTAATGAACAAAACAAACCCTGGATGAACTGTATTTTCCAAACTGTAATGGCACATGGCAAACACAAACAAGTTTTGGTCAAGTTTTTTCCCATTAGATAACACGTACACTCGGCTGTGCGACAAAACACATTAAAAACAAGCCGTCGAAATTCATGAAGGTCACGTGAAGCAAACGGCAACGATAAAAAGATATTTCATGAAGCGCTTTCAAGTCTCTTTACAATAAAATCTCAACGTACATTCATATTGGTCCTTTTCTGATCGATCACATTCTTGGCTTGTTGCGGTTGTCAAATTGAACATGTAAAAGCAATTAATATAACTGCAATTATCAAAATAAAAAGGTAGATTTAGAAGAAACGGCGGAGCATAAGGCGCTTTAGTTTTTTCAGACGCTGATATTAAACTCATAGTATTTCGGATTTTGTCCACGGGATGCGGGGGGGGGGGGAGAAAAAAAACACACAGCCTTCGACCCACAGACTGAAGACCGTGAAATGTATGTACACTGCAAAACATGATAAAAAATTGGGTAATAAGTGCTTGAATCAAGTGTTTTTTATCTTGATTTGAGCACTTATTGACTTGTTTGATTTAAAAAACTGTTGCTTTATTTCAATAATTTTGCTTGTCAAGATTTGCCAATGGGAAAAGACAAAAAATGAGCTCAAATTAAGATAAATATGGCAAAATGTGAGGATTTTTTTAACTTTATTTCATCACTTTTTGCAGTGTATGTATACATGTATTCTGTTACATTTTCAGTGCTTCTGAAATGTAGACATGAATTACTCTGACTTTGCCCATTTAATTTAATTATGCCATAAAGGAGTAGGTTTTTATTTTTAAATATTTTTTGTTATTACTTCAACCAACTTCTCTTTGAGCTTTTTAGAGGACTTAAACATTGTTTGCTCTAAGCTCAAATAAACAATCTGCACTGAACTGAACAGAGCTAAGAAAAATGGGAACAAAAAAAGTGTGTGTTCTCCCGAAGAGCTCACATTCTCACATTTGTGCTTCTGTGGATGCTGTTGTGTGCATAAATCCATGTTGTGCTCTGACTTAAAGATCTTTAAGCACCACGGAAATGGGCCTGCAGCAAAATACAGTAAAGGAATTCCAAAATAATCTGGTTCTAGGCTACAGTGTGTGGGTCTAAGTCTGCGCGTACAAAGTCTGACATATATCTCATAATATCTCAACTTTTTTCTCATATTATTATGAGGTCAATCTTGTGAAAATTACAAGAATAACAAATAGAGTACATTTTTGTTAAACTAAAAAAATAAATATTATGAGATTAAACTCATTAAGACTGTTGCTGACTTTATTCTCACACTATTTCCAGTTTAAAATTGAAATAGTTTGAATTTAATCTCATAGCGTCTGCAAAGAGAAAAAAATAAATAATTGTGTGAACCCTGTGCTCTGCCGTAAGGAAGTGTAAATTTTTTAAAAAGAGTAATAGCGAGGTCTTCTTCCAGCTCAACGTTCCAAATCCAGCCTTGTCCGCCGTCGGAGGCCTCATTATCCTCTTGAATTCACATTTCTATCTCTCCTCTCATCCCGCCTTTGTTTACGCCGCCTCCTCTTCTTTTCAAAGTAAACAACCACGACCTCAGTTTTCCCGCTTACTTCCTGGCTCTTTGCAGCAGCGCCTGAAACCCGTCGATCGTCTCCGGGTTCTCCCCAGCCTCCAGTTCCGGAATGTTTCTCTGCAGCCAATTGGAAGACTTCAACTGATGCTGCAACGTTCCGATCAGAGAGTCCAGGGAGCAGCTGGCCGAAGGGTCCTGGGCCGCCTCCGTCCCGGCGCCCGGCGACTTGGGAGACGGGACAGAAGTGTATCGCTGTATTGTTCTGTTGAGGTCAATGTTTGTCTCTGTGGCCGAGGGTCCGTGGCTCTCAATGGGGCCTTTGACGGAGCTGGAGCTGGAGCCGGGGCAGGCCAGTGTCCCTTCGATTTCGCTCAGAGCCTCTTTGAATCGCCTCAGTCCTGGAGAGTAGAGAAAAAGAGTGACTATTATCCAATCCATAAACAGTTTAAAAGAAGAAAGCTGCTGATGTCTTGAGTTTGACCAGCCTGTAATGGTGTTTGATTTGGAAGTAGGGGTTAAAGATGCTCAAAGAATCTGTGTTTTAATTAAAGTAATAACACTAGTTAAAATTAAAAATTTTATTTAATCCTAAGTGGCAACAATTAGCAAATCGCAAAAACTGCAATTATTTTGTTTACATTATTTCCTTGAAAAATAGAACCTCATTGTGTTGAATGTTGTATAAATCTGGCTATACCTGTGTTTGTAGTTCTAAAACAGGCTCAGAAATACAAGAATCACAGCAAATGTGAAAAGAGGCTAATTTGTCTGTATTTGAATGCATTATGACTGTGTATCTGCTAATGAAAAAAGCAAGGCCAGTCTAAGCACAGTGAGATACGTGAGAATTTGCTTATATTTAAATTCAATAAAAACATTAATGAAATACAACCACATATCCTCATATTTGAATTCTCCAAACGCACTTTGAACTTTATTCTGGCTTAATGACAGAAATCACACATCAAATTCATCATCGCAATGGCTATCAGAAAAAAACCCACAATTAAACATTTGTTTAAAAAGGGTGCTTCTCTAGATTAAGAAAAGAGGACATGCTGCTGTAAACGTACCCAGCTCTAGAGGGTGCTGTTGATCTGCAAAGACGATGCGGAACCATCCTGGAGCGGAGCAGGAGAAAGCCTGACCGCAGCTCAGCACCACTTTGTGCCTGAGGAAGCAGCGCCACAGAGAAAGCTCGTCCTCAAACGTGAACTCCATCAAGTACTGCGCACAAACCATCACAACCGGGATTGTAATGAGACTGAGGACAATATTACAGTCACTTTATCAAGACAGAATCAAAGCAAGCACTTATTTCTCCCCATGAAGAGTCCTGTAAAAGCAACATGTGTTAACAACAACAACACGTCTCTATCTCATTAGAAAACATGTTATCTTCCTGGATTTTATTGTATGTCCATGTTGTTTTCTGTGGTTTGAAAATTGTGTACTGCAGCTTTATTTATTTTTTCAAATGACTAACTGTGAGAGCGAGATAACACAATGGAACTCTAGATCTCCCAGAGCAGTCAATTTGACGGTTTTTTTATTTGGAAGTGCAATTACTCTGCTTAAGTAGGTTTTTGGTCTTCATAACTTTTGGACATTTTCTAGTTCTTTATGTTGTTTATTTCTATGTTATACTTCGATCCTGGACTGGTTCAAAATAATTTAAGCTTGTGTGTGTTAGTTACCATAGCAACGCACTGTTTACCTGCAGCAATTAGCATGACGTTTTGCTATAATTCATTTCTATTAACTAGTTTTTGCATGCATTAAAGAAACTGTAGAATTCCATTATATTTAAATGGGAGCTGTCAAAACCTGGGAGTTCTAGTAGTTTCAGAAGTTTATGATGATAGTTATATGATGATAATAAGGACTTACTTTCCTGAGATCGGCCCACACAAACAAAGCTGCCGGTCTGTCTAAGAAAGGGATGCCTAAACGTTTCAACTCGTTCGTCAAAAAACTATGAGCGCTCTTCAGCCGGCTTCTGTTTTCAGGTAGAAATTTGTTGTTGATCCATTCTAGGAGAGTAACAAAACATTAGCAGAGAACAGCAGTAGTAGCAGTAGTTTAAACGTGTATATTCTGTGTGATACCTCTGTCCCGCAGCAGCTGTGCGACCTGATGCTGAGTCTGTCCCGGGATCCCGTGGAAGGAGCCGAGCTGGGCCAGCGCCGCCACCACTGCCCTGTTCTCCGAGTACAGGGTGCCGATCCGAAGACCTGCCATCGCGAAGTCCTGAGGCCAGAGGCAAAAGTATGGTCAGTGGGAGGAAAAGTGGCTTCTCAGACCAGAGGCTTTAAACTGGAGCGGTGCCAATAGGGCAAGTTTTACATATTAAAACTTGCTCTATTGAAAAGTTTTACATTTATATCTAACCCTTGTGCTATCCTCGGGTTAAATTGAATTGCTGCAGTGTAAAAAATATCCCAAAAAATAGTTTTTTTTTAAAGCTGAATTTCAATAATTTTTCCTAACTTGACCAGTCCTGGGTTATAATTTAGACCCTTTAAACCCCTCCTTTAGGGAGTTTGTCTTCTACTTTTAATCACTTAAATACTTTCCATTAATACGTGTGTTCAAATTTAAGAAATGAAATGAAAGGAAACATTCTAACAAAACAAAACATTCTGACAGAACTGAATGTATCGTTCTTTGGGCTCGACTCACAATCGTGGTTAGATAACGTTCAAAGTCAGTGAGTCATAAATCAAGGGATGAAACTGTTATTTTGCCAACACATATATACGTTTACAGAGAACAACAGTATTTCGAACACACATCCCACACCGAACACGGCTTGAGTCATAAACAAGAACCCGTTTATGTCCGCTGCATCTGTACGAGACGGTTTTATTCCGCCTCCAGTCCAGTTCAGTGCTCACCTTACTCATCCCCCACATGATGTGTGTCCTCTGAGGGTCCGGCACACTGATATACAACACACAGTAACACACAGGTCAGAGTTATTGTAACGCTACAATAACACACGCACATTTCACACTTTAGAATCAGGATCAGAATTACTTTGTATTGCCATTGTGAGAAACTGGATGTCACAAACAAGGACATTGCTTTAGTTCTCGGTGTAAACTAGTTATAAAAGTAAGAATTAGCATAAAACGGACTGCAAAAAAAATTATAATATATAAGGTAATACCATCCATCCATTTTCTTCCCCTTAATCCATTTCTGGGTCGGGGGGGTGGCAGTCAGAGCTGCACCCAGTACACATAGCACCAGTCCCTCACTGATCCTCCTGCAGGTGGTGAGTCCACAGGAGCCTTGATCTTTCAGTGGGGGCTTTGGGCAAAGTGGGGTTAAGTGTGTTGCCCAAGGACACGATAGCAGTCATCAGTGGGAGTCCATAAACATAAGGTAATACATGTATCAAAAATCAAGTGGTTTTTTATCTTGATTTTAGTACATTTTGACTTTTTTAAAACAAGATTTTCCAATGATACAAGCCATGTAGTCCAATATCAAGAGCTGTTGCAATTTATTTTTCCTTCTAAGGGAGATATCTATTATTTATTTTTTGACAGTTATTGTGACAGTGACAGTTATTAAGTATATTCTGTGGGTGTTTTGCTACTCCTACCCCCTCCCTATACCAAGGGAGACATTTCTTGATTTTATTGTATCTTTTAAAAACAAGAACATTTTGCTTGTTTGAAATGTGCTCAAATGAAGATGAAAAAACACTTGATTCTTGATACATTTATTACCTCATATTTTATAATTTTTTTGCCGTGCATGCATAAAAATAAAAACAAAATCTACATAACATGTCTTACTACTATATACAAGTGCACGTTTACCTTTCCAGACTAAGGACACTTGGAAATATCGCAGATTCGTCAAATACCGTCAGCATGTACACCTCGTCCACAATGACATGGAGCTCGTTCCTGAAAAAAAATAAATCAAGGGTAGTTTATAAACAACGATGAAGATAACGAAGACGATAAAAACGCAGCTAAACTTGATATAAATTCCATCTAACTGGAATGGATCTGGTTGTGCCCCCTGTCTGTATAAAAGCCATGTGGTTTACGGTTACAGCGGTTCAGCGGCCGACCGGAGCTTACAAGAGGAAGATCATTTAGTAAACAATGGCTGGTGCAGGACACTTCTTGGCACATGGGTGCATTTAACGATAATGGAGCCGGGAGGTGATAAAAGTCCATCAGCACCACTTGTTATTCCGCACACAGGTCAGGGCACCAAGCCGTAAAATAAAGGTTTAAATGGGATGGATGCAGTACCATATAAAGCGTTAAAATAAAAGGAGGATTAAGTCCGGGATCTGGCTATATCTGCAAGAGAAAGCCTGATTTCGTTATCAAAGCTGGGCAAGGCCTGGTTAGTGCGGTGATGGGAGAAAATGTGTGGTCTGTCCCCGACTCAGTTCTTGCACCTAAACTAATCTAATCTTTGCGTTTTACCGCTACCTTGACACATGATTGTTTTGTTATGCATGTGTCGATAATAGAGATAGAGCAAAGTCGACATCTGGAGAAATCTTTGGCAAAGGCCTCCTCATGTCTTTTCTATCAAAATAGTAAGTGTTATTGCGATAATCTGATATATTGGCACCACGCCTACAGGTGTACTGTTCCTGTCAAATACATTAATAAAATATATAAATAAGTATAGATCAATGCAAATCAATGTATTCTTGTATAGCCCTAAATCATAGCGAATTCAAAATTTGCCAACACAGATCAGAGAATCAAACCTTTCAAACACATAGAGCCATTAGTCTATAAAAGGGGCAGATGATCAATGTCCATCCATCCATCCATTTTCTACCCTTTAATCCATTTCTGGGTCAGGGGGGTGGCAGTCAGAGATGCCACCCAAGTCTCATAGCACCAGCCCCTCACTGACCCTCTGCAGGTGGTGAGTCCACAGGAGGACGGCTGCTCTTTGAGTGTGAGCATAGCCTTGATCTTTCAGTGGGGGCTTTTGGGCAAAGTGGGGTTAAGTGTCTTGCCCAAGGACACAACGACAGCAGTCATCAGTGGGAGTCGGTGGAGAAGGTGCAGAGGTGGGAATTGAACCCACGACCTTCTGGCCTTAAGGCCAATGCTCTACCAACTGAGCTACTGTCGCCCCTCGTCATGATCAATGTCCAGAAATGTTAATAAATGTCCATAAAGGGTTGTTAAATGTCAAGTTTCCTGGCTCATAACCACTGTTTGACATTCTAGATCATATAATGTATAAATACCTTTTGGCAAACTCTAAGAAGGCAATTATCTCAGTCTGGGTGTAGATCTCCGCCAGAGGATTGTGTGGATTCATCAGTATGACAGCGCGTATCCTAATTCCCTGCAAAAAAAAATAAAAATCAACGAAGCGTAAAAAAAACCCCATATCTTATTGAAGACAGGAAAGACGGCAAAAAAATAGTTTTGCATGTTATTTGTTTGGAAGTTACCCCTTGTTTTGCTCTTTTCAGTCCTTCTTCCAATTTGTCAACGGTGAGATGAAACGGTCGACGGCCACTTTCATTTTCCTTTCAAGAAGAACAAAAGTATGAAATTCGGTCTGCGTTTTGAATTACAAAATAATGAGACTTATCGGTACCTCGCAGTCCAGAGGCACATGGAAGAGTTTGACATTGGCGTAGAGCTCCAGGTCCTCCGTGATCACGCCGTAGAAAGGAGTTGGGATGAGAATGGCGTCTGTGGCGGGAGAGTAAACATCAGTATTAGTAGTGAGGGAAACATTTGTGCTGGAAATTGGGCAAAATATTGTGTATATTTTACCTACAAGATGCAAGACTTTTATTTATTTATATCACACATTTATTTAAGGCTGGGGTCCAAACAGAAAGAGTCTAAAAGTAAAAGTTAAATGTTGTAAACAAACATGCCGTCTTTGTCTCATTATCATTAGCAAACCTGTAAGTAAGTTATTGTTTGTCTCTTTGGACTGAGAGCTGAGGGTGGTCCGCTCTTATTCACTTTTCTGTCTTAAAAAGCTGATCTTAAGATGTGCTAAATTCAGAGATTTTATACTTAATCCTCGCTTCTCTATTATTTTTAAGTTGGAGATTTTAGACTTGAAAGATGAGGATTATATACTTTCTTCTTTATTATGCTAAAGTTAGAGATTTTATTCTATTATAGTATCGAGTTATTGTTCACTTTACCAAACAAAATTATGAAAAAAATCGGAATAGCTAAACCATGAGTTGTGGAACTGGTCCTCGAAAAGGCCGGTGTGGCTGCAGGATTTAAATCCCTTCCAAGCCAAGCCCTTCCTGGACCCGCTGTGACACCTCTGAGCTAAACTCATAAAACTCATTCTAACTTAGGCGTAAACTATAGTATAGCCCTAGGAGGCTTTTACAGACAATTGTGTGGAATTTCAGTACATGCCAAAGAGTTAACATAAGTATCAAATACTTATATATCACTTGATACTACAATTGATACTAAAAAGACATGAACATAGCAGAATAGCACCTTCGTTTCTAAGAGTTTTAAAGCTCATACATCAGAACTAGAGTAAAACCTTGAGGTGAGAAAAACAGTACATTCATGTCCGATTAAAATAGCAGCCTGTTGTCTTGTGAAATAATCCCAGTGTTATTGAAATCTAGAACACACACATTACCTTTAGGATCACATATGACCGTGGCGACACACGAGAAGAGGGATCCACAGCCGTTCATCACCACCACCTGCACACACGCCATTTCAGAAACCAAAACACGTCTACAGTCACGACATGGGGAGGCAGCATTTCAGATTTATGTCGCTACAATCTGGAACAGTCTTCCTGAAAATGGGAGACAGGCTTCTAACGGGAAACAGTTCAATTCAGCCGTGAATACAATCTCTACTCTTTTTAATGTACTGTGATTATTTATCATTTCAATGCATTGTGCGATGGTTTCTTGTTTTGTTAAGCACTTTGAGTTGCTTTGTGTGTGTCAACTACGCTATACAAACAAACTTGCCTCTAGTGATTCAACAAACAATAGTATTCATTTATCAGTTTCCAGAGAACGATGTCTGTTCATGATAATGCCTGTGTGTTCGGCATGTCCAATCATTTGCATATAAGTCCTTCCTTTATCCGTTTTGTTACAGAGACACACGCAAAAACTAAAATAAACAAAATATCCATAGAATTTATAGTCCTGTAAGTTACTTGTTACTCACATAATCTAAGAATATAAATACATATTGTGAGAAGTGATAGTATTGAGGCTACTTAATGCCACTAAAACAATTACAAATCATACCATAAAGAGATGAAACTGCAGATTTAAAGCTGGGGTACATAACAAAAGTGGTTGTATGTATTTTTGTATTAATATCAGCTGTTAATCTCATTGTTCACATCATGATAATAGTTAAAGCATATATTTTAAACTATAGATATATTTTGGCTTGAAACACCTCAGGTTTTGCTAAATATAAATCGCCATCTGATGATACAGAGAAAGTGGATTGGTCTGAGAAGTTCACAACACTTTTTGCAAGACTTTTTTTCTGTTGGGAAAAGCAATATCTACCCAAGCTTTCAGCAATCATTAGCCATACAAGTGAATGGTTCTACTTTCAGGTGAAGCAAGGGCTAAAATATACGAAAACAGGACGATTCTTATGCTATTTTACGCGTTAATCTGTAAACATAGCTTTTATGTAGCGAACACAAGGATCACATTGACTAAAACACAGCATATATGTAGTATACAGTAAACAGACTCACATTATCTGCCTTCAGTGGGCGTGGAGAACAGCAATAGTCCGTCAAGAATCTGGCCACCTCCTCCCTCAGGCTAAAGACACAGAAGTCATTACGAACAAGAAAAGTATTATTTGAAATCCTATTGTAAAAGTGGGTGCGCAATCTTACAATTTGTGTCCGGTCCAGTCTCCGTACTGCAGTAAGGACGAGTTAACAAGTAGCATGTCAGGCTTGGTCAGCTGCAAAATTACATTTACATATTAACACGTTTCATAATTCACTTGGATTCTCTCAGGCTTTATTGCATTTGAAATGAATAATATTGCTCTCACGCGCTTGAGCAGGATATCATAACACAGCTTGTTCTCGCTGGTGCCGAGGTTTATGATGCCCTAAGATATAACCAAACGATAAAATAATTAAAAGGGTGTAGATTGTGGCACTTGTGGCGTTGTGGGAGCACTTACATTGGGGTTGTCGGTCTCGTGGTATTTGTCCATTCCGTACTGTAGAAATCCTTCTTGGAGAATTCCCTGATGCTGCAGGATGGTGTTGCCTCTGCTCGACAGGTAAGCGCTGCGTCCACTGCTGACCGCGCGTTTAGAGCTTTCACACGGCTTGTTTGGAATCTCAGGAAACCCCTCTTCTATAAGAAATGGCCTGGATGTCGAAGCATAGAGGGTGTATTAGACAGAGTAAAACGCACATTGAGAAAATCATCCCCGTCTCTGGAACTCTGTCTCACTTCAGAACTTCAAATACACTTAACTGTCTATCTTAGCGTTCTTTTTTTATTTCTTATAAACCTGTCCCTTTGTTAAGTGTTTTTGAGTGTGCTACAGAGTGCTGTATAAATGTATAATGTATGATTCCAAACTAAAGTAAGGTGTCATCAAGTTCAAAAGTCTGTTATTTCTCAATTTCAACATATTTCACCCTCAACCTCAATTTTAGCCCATTATGACAAAGCTAAAAAATCACCTGAATATTGCTATCAAGATAGTAGAGAATTGGAGACAAATTATTTTATCTTTTGAAGGGGAATATTCTTCTAAATCAGTGTTTCTCTACTGTATATATATAAAGCCAAGCCTACTTTTTCTGGATTTCTTTTTTGTAGTGTGGTAGATAGATATTTAAAGAAATCATTTGCCCAGGAAAGGCTTCAGTCCTGACCCACTTAACATGATCCCGTGACTCACTTCACCCACATTGCCTAGAAAGAGTCTGGTGTGTGCGTGAATGTTTGGTGGTGGTTGGAGGGGCCGATGGCACATACTGGTTGCCTGGCTTCTGTCAGTGTGCCCCAGGGCAGCTATGTCTACAGTAGTTGTTTATCACCACTGTTTATGGAGTGAATGAATAATGACGTTTGAAGCAACTTTGAGAGTCCAATAAAGCGCTATTTAAAAAGAACGCATTATTATTATTATTGCGATAACGATAATTTCTCAATACATCGTGCAGCGCAAGTCCCGAGCCACTGTTCTGAATAATGCATGAAACAGATGGTTTTAAAATATATTGACATTGAGCCATTCACACTGAATATATCAAATATGAGGTAATAAATGCTTGAATTATGTGGGGTTTTTTCATTTAAATTTGAGTTAATTCTGACTGTGTTAAAAGAAGATTAGCCGATGGGATAAAGCCAATTAATCTTATTTCAAGAACGGTGGCTGTAATTACTCATTCCTAGGTAGTCATTTCTTGTATATTTTTAAAACAAGATCATTTTTCTTTTCCCATTGGCAAATCTTGTATTTAAGGCAGTCAAAATGTGCTCAAATTAAGATTTTGCCAAATTTGAAAGATTTATGACTTATTTTTCATCATTTTTTGCAGTGCACCTACCCCGAGTCAGAGCTGACACTGGTCTCTGCCGGTGCCTCTGCCGCCATCTCCCTAGGGACTGCACGGTGAGCGGCCCCCAGCGTCCCGGCGAGCATGCTGAAGAGGCGGAGCTCGTGTTCGCGCTCCTGCTGGGCCCTCTGCTGCTCCTGCTTCTCCCTCCGCTCATCCGCCTGCACCTCCCTCTGCAGCCGCGCCTCCTCCAGAGACAGCAGCCTCTCCTCCGTGACCTGCTGCCACTTGAGGAAGCTGACCAGGGCTCGGTCCAGGCCCGTGCGGTGGGTGGATGCAGAACTGACTTTGGCACTGTGGTTTGATTTGGAGACATTCTTACGCTTTCGTTTCAAGTTGGATAAGGTGTAATACGGCGCCTCGGTGAAGTGGCGCTCTGCGGAGCCGGCCTGTGTCCCTGAAGGAGAGCAAGGTGTGTTCTCATCGCTCACTACTGCTGGGGGAAAAAGACACACTGGAGTTAATACGTTTGATTTCAAATGATTCATCCTTACAATAATGTGTCCCTTAGTCAAATACAAACAGTTCATTAGTCAAATACAAACATCATAATAACTGGATGAATTTAGAACCCCTACTCCTACCCCTATTGAAAACTAACTTATTACATTCTTACAGTATGCTAAGATTTTTTAGGCTTCATAGAGTTTACTTGTGTCATATTTACTGTGTTTCTCCTATTTATCTGGTGTAGAAAGCCTTTTTTCCTGTGTTCTGTTTGTGTCTACAACACTGATATAAAGTTTATTGTTGTATGTTTGTTTCTTTTTTTGTGTCAGTCTGCTATAAAGAGTATATTCAATTCTGACCATTTTAAAACAAAACTATATACTAAACATTAAAATTAAATTCATATTTTAAAAGTATGTAAAACAGAACTTGAATGAAACTTCTAGTACTAATTATCGAAGTGAACGGACAGAGCACCTGCAGGTGAAATGGCAGGTGTTTCTGGTTTGTCCTCCAGAACTGGGGCCTCTGACTGTGCATCTATCTCCTGGTCATCCCCCGATCCATAATACATCTCAGGGGGAGCCACAGCTGAATTCACGATGCTCTCGTCCATATTTTCACACTTGATGTCCAGTGCATTTTGTTTGAGTGTTGGGTGTCCGAAGAGAAAGCCCCCTGTAGCCGGGGGGCCAAAGGAACTGGCTGGGATCGTGGCGTGGAAGCCATCTGCGCCCCCATGGTTCTGATACACGTGTTGAGCCACAACTGTGCCGCCCAGAGAGGAGTAAGTGATAGACGGACGGCTGGTCACCACACGGTCAATCACGTCAAAGAACTTCCAGGATCGTGTTTTGTGGTTGTCTTTGATGCGGCGGTACTCCAGCCTCATCTTCTTGATCTTCTCCCTGCACTGGTCCCCGGTGCGGAAGACGCCCCGCTCCTGCAGCGTGTGCGCGATGCGGTCAAAGACGCGTTGGTTTCTCAGAGAACTCTCCAGCTCCAGCTGCACAGTGTCATCGGACCACAGCTGGAGCAGCTCCACTATCTCCGGGTCTGTCCAGTTACTGCCCCGCTCGTTCTTTACTTTGTTACGAAATTCCATCTCTATAAGTCTCACGTATTCTGCAAAAACAAACCTTTAGTGAGATTTCCATTCAACTCTGAACATAAAGCGTGTGTAGTGTGTGTTGTCACAGTGAACTAAAGTGATCTGAAGGATAAAAATGTACCTAAACTCAAGGCGACCGTCTCCGCTTATCAAACAGCGTCAACACAGACAGTGTTCTCCATGAGGACTTCCCCTGGTTTAACCCGGTTGGGAATGGTTTGGTCCGACACGGCTTTGTTCAGACCCGTGCTAGATTCATTTTCACTCATCTTTTCCACAACTTGTAAAATGGGGATCGTGGAATATCTACATCCGGGTTGACGGCACATGCGTGCTGTTCTATTCCGGGATAACTTTGGTCCGTGCTACAGCCTGCGAAAGCGAGCTGTTTTCACTTCATCCAGGCTGTGGCGGTGTAGAACCATGCGAGTCAGAGCCGTGTCCTCACAGAGAGCTGACAGCGCCCTCCATAGCACCTACTGTGCTTTGCAAGCGCAGATGCCCTGTAATCCTTCTCGTGTCCATCAGAGGGCGGCAACAGCCTGATAACAAACCGACACGCGCTCTTCAGGGGGGCGCGTGTTTTACTCTTCGGGGGCAGCCAGCATGAAGACAAGGGAAGAACACCGCCACTTTGCGAAGTGGGAGTCCGCAATAAAATCCCTTAGATTTATGTCTTTATCCTACAGCATCTGATGCCAAATCCTATTTTGCCACTATTGAAAATCATAAACGAAATAAATGAGAAATTAATTGACACAATCACATTGTCAAAGTAATATATTAGTTTTTTAGCAGACCAGCTGCTTGTATGTAATTTATTTTTCTTTCAATATTTCAAAATGTGCAATCAGTATAAGGTCGTATGGTTGAAAAATTTATTTTTGGCACTAGCTGACAGTGATTGGCCAGAGTGCTACTGGAAGCCATGGAATTTCCCTCGATGATACTTTGTTGTGGGTAGGTTTCCAGGATATAGTACCTGATACAATAAAGGCATAATTGATACACAACCAGGTAGAGCCGAGCCGAGTAGAGTGGGGCCAAGTAGAACTGGTGGGAAAGTGGCTTCAGGACGTGTACAGTGACCATGACCCTGACAAAGGTACTCCTGTCAAAGCCGCCCCATAGGCTGTGCGCCTCATTTATTTGATAAGGGGGGGGGGGGGGGGGGGGGCACGTGTAGTAATGGTGGATAAGGATTCTTTGCTTACATATTTGAGACGTTAGACATAATTAAGATTGAAAATGACACGCGCCCACTAGCCACCGCCCGGTTAGCTCTTCCCGGTGAGCAACTCCAACACCGTCTACTACCGCTGCTTTTTAAACGTGACGTATTTCCTGGGCTCTTGTGGCACTTTAGTTGTCACCTTCGTCCAGTCACATCTCCCACACACTCTATATACGTCCACACCGCGCTCCACAACAAAGATGCGCTCGTAAGCCCGGAGGAGATTTTTCTTTTCTTTTTTATCACACGCGCAAAAAATCGTATTGTTTATTATAGAGGACAATGCACACGGGCAAACTCACAGAAGCAATAGAAGATTTTGCACACAAAAAAAGCCATAGAATGAAAACGCGTCCTAACAAACTGCTCTGGCTGTGTATGTGGTGGTAGATAGTTCACTTTTAGATTTTTTTGGACAATGGGCGTATAGCGGTATAGTGGTGCGTCTGGCTCCGGGGGTTGGATGGAAACTTCCCAGTGAGGAGAAAAGACGAAGGATGTGGAGGAATGATCCCGTACTCCGATCAGGCATCATCTGACACAGCCCGCTAAGGTATGTACTATCTCTGGCTAGTGCTATATCCAAAGTAGGACATAGACATATTGGGGCTTGTATTTTTTAAACAGAAGGAGGTATAGAGCTGTGCATGAGAATATGTGTTTGTTAGGATTTTATTTTTTATATTTTTTGCACGTGTTATCTGTAGGCTATGTATTTGTGCATGCCTTCATAGTTCACAATGAAACAAAGCATGCCACGTCGTTTATAGATGAGTTATTTCTGGTGGGTGGTCACTTACCTGCTGCCTATATCGTATATTTTATCCCCGTTACTGTAATATCAGTCAGTTCCCTTTTTATTAATTTATTTGATAGGGACAGTGCACATATGTCAGATGGGGACAGTGTAAATAAGATAAGAAATAGCAGGGAATTTACATCTGTTGTCCCCAGGAAGGTAATACAGGCAGAAAATACACAAACATTGCACATAAACAGTTCAAAGAGCTCCTAGACTTCAGCCACAGTTTAAGGAGCAGTTTGAAAGTGGACAGCAGGACATGATTTATCCTTAGAGGTAGTTTTTTTCTTCAAATAGTTGCTCCATTTTGACAGGCATCATTTCCTCAGTATGGGGAACTTGTCTACCGTTCAATATTACAATAACACGTGCATAACCAAACAGACTTTTCCTTTCTTTTTCTTTTACCCAGTATGAAAGAATTTTCTCTGTCATTACAAAACAAAGCAATTACTGTATCTTAATGAAGAATGAAACGAATAGGGACCCCCCCATTCAAAACTGTGAGTGCTCCTTTGAGTGGATCTTTACTTGTCAAGATAAACTCCCATATTGTTAATTTATAACCTGTATTTTTTTGCTTAGGTTTTACCACCCTGCCTGAACATTTCTGTCAATCAACCACACTACATTTATCAGTTTTTTTTTTTTTTAGCCAGACTTTCATAAATATGTCTGTTATATTCTCCTTTTTTACAAAATAAATGCATGCTTTAATGTTTAATTTAAGGTTATGGTATACATTATTGCCTTCTGCATTTGCCCCATCTTTCCTATGCCACAAGGACAACTACCCGGCGGCAGTGGTCACAGCAGTGCAGCCTGTGTAATTAACTTGCAAATATATTTTCTTTGGCTGTGGGCTACCGTCTGTGTCAAGCATTGCCTCGGCTGTGAAACACCAGCTATAGGGTTTTAACAAGAGATAAAGTCAAGGTCACAACAATTCAAACAGCACGGAAAAACATCTTGGCTATTCAAATGGATTAGACACACGGTTTTCTTCACTGCATGGAAGCTTTTTGTGTCTTGTTGCCGAGTGTTTTGAACTTGTTGAAAGGTGTTCCGCTGCCTACATCTATGTTATTAGTTTGCCCCTCTATATGGCACCTATATATGCAAACTCACACACTCCAGGAGGGGATACTTTGTCATCAATGGTACTTAAAAATGCTGTTTTTTTTCTCCGGCGGATTGGTGGATTGAAGAGGGCAGCCTGAAGCAGTGTGGGAGTCTGTATTTTTGCACTTAACACTGGATTGGAGCTGGATTACTGGATGCGGTTCATCAATCTCCACGCATACTTGAAACGTGCATTTCAGTCGGGATGGGAAAGTTAAAGTGAAGTGTGGTTATAGAATGTGCTTCTGCCTCACAGCAAGAGGTTCTCTCTTCATTCTGGAGCCTTGATTCCCACATACAACACTGGTACTATTGGATTTAAAGTACACAATGCTTGCCCTAATTGAACGTCTCTGGTGGAAGGTCAGTTTTTCATTATGTTATAACCTTTGCCTTGGAATGTGGTATTAAACCGCTCTGTCTAACAGTCCTTTTCATTCAAATACCTTGAAAATACTTGCTCACAGGAGGAAATTTTCTCTTCACAAAGAGACCGAGGTTCTGGTTTTGCTCGCTTATTAGTGTTGTCACGATACAAACTCAATTCCTGACACTAAGAACTGGATCGTTTTGACCTTTTAAATTCTGCACTGATAATCAATGAGCTGAAATGTTTGACATAAATGATAGTAAGATAAGAAAACGTTTATGCATGTAACAATAGGGACATTGTAGTGTTGGAGCTTATTATTTATTTATAGTTCATTTTCTACCCCTTTTTATTAGTCCATTCCTGGGTCCCTCGCTGATCCTCCGGCAGGTGGTGGGTCCGCAGGAAGACGGCTGCTGCTCCCTCAGCGGTGACACAGCCTTCTTCTTTCAGCGGGGGCTTCGGGCAACGGGGGGTTAAGTGTCTTGCCCAAGGACACAACCACAGCAGACTTGTGTGAGCAGTTGGAGTAGGTCTCGTGGGGGGATCGAAACCCACGCCCCCTACCAACTGAGCCACTGTCGCCCAGTGGTCGGGAGCCTAGTTAAGAGCAATTCAATTCAATTTATTTTTGTATAGTCCTAAGGCACAACAACAATCGTTTCTGAGGACTCTACAAAGTTATTGATGGTTTGAACACAGGAAATGCAACAATAACAAACACATAGGAGCCATTGGTCCATATGAAACCAATGTCGATAACAAGACAAATGGTAAGAGCACACAGGGAGCAGACACTTGACACACTCAGGGACTACAGGTGTAAATTAGCACTGCTGCTAAAACCTGGTACAATGCATCTCTCCTTCTGGCTAATGTTTATTGTACGCTGTCCCTGTAAAAATAAAAACCATACCATACCATACCATACATCGATGAGTAACTGTAAATGCTTTTAAACTAGTATTTTTTTTCCAATACTACCGTAGTTGTTTTGTACTAGCTCTAATTTAGTTCAAAATCCTTCAAAGCTTTCCAGAGAATTTCACACTTTGTGCCAATTGTGTTTTGTTCGGTATTGATCATTTCTGAAATGATAGTGTCCAGTTTCGTAGAATGATTAAGATTTCATTCGTGATACTTTTGATTATTCTAAATGGAAAAGCACTATTCCAGGATAACATTGCATAGACTTCGCAAAATGCAGCCAGTAATATATTCTGGTTTTTACTTTATTTTTATCTGAATTCATCCATATTAATGTTGGCTTCCCTGTTTGGATGTTTGGATTTCTTGCCTTCAAACTGTATTAACCTGCAGCACGCTTAGCATTTATTTTTATTTTTAAGGAATATTAAAAATGCTTAATGGTTTTTGGCTTCGGCGATAAACCAGCGGTGGTTGACGAAACAATCGGAAATGCCAAAAGTGCCAGAGTTTGACTTAATATTGTTCCTTGGATGTAAGCTGAAGTGTAAAAATGTATAAGCCTCTTACTTACCGGCCGCGGGGCAGTGCTGTGTGAAGATTGTTTTGTTGTGCTGTTACATGCTTTTTGACGCTGGTTTTTTTTGGTTTTGCTTCGTAACTCAAGCCCGGTCCTCTCATGTGTGTCTTGGTGGCACCAGGACCTGTGGTTTGTGTGGGACTCCAGCCTGGCGTCTAATGAGCTCAGAAGAAACGCTCTGTGGGAGAGTGACGGCCGCTGGTCATGTTGTCAGCGCTCCGCTCTCTGATCACACTCGTTCCTAAACTCTTCTTTGAGGCCACGTCTCGTTCCCTGTCTTTGAATCTGCTGAAAAAATAAGAAAAAAGAGAAAAAACATGCATTTGTCCAACTGTGGCACCGGCTCGGCACAGTTGGGAGTGTAGCAAGTGCTCAAAAACAAGATAAACAGCTGTTGAAATATAATTTGGGATATAATTTTGAACATTAACTGTCACCACACTATTGTTTGCCATGTCTTACTAAACCATTGTACTCATTTCATTTTGTGCTAAGGTCTAGGCTTTGCTACATTGAGCTCCGTTTACGTTTGGGAGGGGTTAACTCCTTTTGCAGATAGAAACGATTGGATATGAGTTTATGTAACTAATGCTCCCGAGTGAGTGAGGCATTTAGCATTTAGCCTAGCTTTAGCATTTAGCCTAGCTTTAGCCATCTCCTTTGCCACTAAAGGAGCCCTTGCGGAGTTGAGCCACAATATCTTTGCCAGCAATTACATTTTCTAACCATTCCTTGAACTCCGGCTTCAATTTCTCTTTGGAGTCAAAATCAGAATGAATCGAAGAGCTTCTTTTACTATCGCATTCGCCGCCATTGCCAAACCACAACCTGCTAATTTGGTGCACCCTATTGACGTCACTGACTCCTACCTACAACACCCATAACATAATTACTGTTATGAATCTAATCTCTAAATTCAACTACTTATTATCAACTATTTGTACTGTTACTTTCTAAAGAAGCCCAATAACTTAGCTAGAACGTGCACTCGGAGAGCACATACCCCACCAACACCACGCACCATCTTGAAAGTGGAGTTGTACAACTCAAATGCCGCATCAACTGTTTATTTTGTATTTATTTATTTTTGCGTATTGTTGCATCCAGCGCTACAATCCTAATTAAAGCTAGGGTATTTTATTTCCTCTTGAGCTGTGATGTGTCCACCCGCCCTGATGGTTCCAGAAAAAACTTTTTATTGCATTTGTGAGGTGTGTGTGGTCTTTATTCATTCGGGAATGACATGATATTAAAAGTTTGAAAACTTGCTTTGAGCTAATCTTGACCAAAGGATTTACATGTTTAGGTTTATGAACCGCAATTTTTTTAAATTTAGCAGAAATGTGAATTCAATAGTTAGTAAGTAATCTTTATTTATGTAGCGCCTTTCACAGACTAGAGTCACAGAGCACTTTAAAAGTTGTGTATTGTGCTTTTTGGACTAAAAACAATCGCTCTGTGAATTATAGTTAACATTAGGAATTTCTTAACTCCAATATAGAAAATTAACTGGAATTTAATTTTTACATCAAAACCAGAGCTTTGCAGCTTCATTGTGGCATACTGGGATTTGAACATAATCTTTCAGATTTTTAATAAAAGGTGAGCCTTTGTTATTGCTGTGCTATTATTACATTTTTTAATCACATTTTCGTTTTCTTTTCAAGAATGAACATGGCACATTTTACACTTCTTTACTTCCCTTTGACAAGCGGGACTGTAACACCTTTCATTCTCAGCTGGCGTGCCCTACTTAAGTACTCTTTCATCTGGGTTGTATTTTACCCTTCATACAAAATGCATTGTGCCTTCTGACTTAGTGCGGTTTAAATTTATAGCAAAGTCATAGGAAGAGTAAGAATATCGTGTTTAATATTACTTTCGTTGGTGCAGGCGAGAGCTGTCTGTAGGATGCTGCCTCACTGCTACAACATACCCACTGTTTCATTAGCATACATTAGCATATTATGTCTGAGGAAGGTGTTGTGTTTATTTAGAACTACATTTGCATTTGTATCGTTGAGAAATGCTTCCATGTTTGGTATAAACGTATTCTTGTGTGTGCTAAAAGGCTGCAACTGTTATTTTAGAAGTCGACCAATTAGCAATTATTTTTAGAATGGCCTAATGATTAGTCATCTCATGAAGAAATTTGTTTTACTTTTAAATAAATAGGTGGCGTCCGGAAGCTTCAGAAAGAGAAGATCTTAATTAGTGGATGAAAATCAGAATTAGTGTCTTGTCTGTGATAACAATCTGTGATAACAAGTTTATAGCCCAGTCCAGGTAAAAGTCTGAGCACTTCAGAAATATGTTTATTCCCTGTTGAAATAAGTATCTTCAATAGAATTATTTTTGTTTTCGTAATGTGCTTGTCCAAACATTACAATTATGAAAGTGCAATGATGCCGTAATGTGCTTTGATTGTCGGTAACGATGTAATTTTCATAGCTAATGCCATTGTTTTGTAATCCACAGAGAAAATGTCTCAGTCTCTGTCTCTCTCTCGGCCTCTCTCTCTGCCTCTCTCTGTCTCTTTCTCTCGACCTCTTTGTATCTGTCGCGGTCTCTGTCTTGGTCCCTCTTTCTCGATCTCTTTGTCTCGGTCTCAGTCTCTGTCTCAGTCTCTGTCTCTCTCTCGGCCTCAGTCTCTGTCTCTCTTTCAGCCTCTCTCTCAGCCTCTCTCGGTCTCTGTCTCAGTCTTTCTCTCAGTCTTTCTCTCTGCCTCTCTCTCAGCCTCTCTCTCAGTCTCAGTCTCTCTCTCGACCTCTCTCTCGGCCTCTCTCTCGGTCTCTTTCTCTCGGTCTCAGTCTCTTTCTCAGTCTCTCTCTCGGCATCTCTCTCAGCCTCTCTCTCGGCCTCTTTGTCTCTGTCTCTGTCGCAGTCTCTATCTTTGTCTCTCTCCCAGCCTCTATCTCGGTCTCTTTCTCTCTGTCTCAGTCTCAGTCTCTGTCTCAGTCTCTCTCTCGGCCTCTCTCTTGGTTTCTCTCTCGGTCTCTCCCTCGGCCTCGGCCTCTATTGAGGTCTCTGTCTCTATCGAGGTCTCTATCTACCTTCAAATGTATCAGTGGATAAGCAATTTATTTAGGGTCAAAAAGTAAAAAAAAAACAGTATCTCTTTGCAGTCGTTTTTCCTATCTTCCTTTCACAACTAGACATATTTCTTCTGTATCATTACTGCACTTTGTTCTTGCAAATTCGGTCAGGGTTGTTCAGAGTGACCCATTTAAGAGTTTTTCCTTTTTTTTGGTTGAGTTTCTAACCGGCTGTGTCCTCTCTCGTCCAGGCCATCCGCTGTGAAATAGGGCAGAGAAGGAGGCTGACGGACAGACGGTCAGTGGAAGTCTTCTCCTTTTCATGGATGCCAGGGTGGTCCTACTGCACCTATGGACGGCCTGCGGTGTCCTCCTGTCCCTGGAGCTCCGGCGCGTTGATGCAGAGGTCTACACGAACACTTGGGCTGTCCAGATCAGCGGAGGGCCGGACGAGGCCGATCGAGTCGCAAGAGAACACGGCTTCGTCAATCTTGGCAATGTAAGTCATGATCGACCTCTATGATACTCTCTCTGCAGTCTGATGCTTCATGTAGAAGATAGGATTAAGATGGTTTATTAGTCCCACAGGGGAAATGTCAGTGTTGAATCCCAACAGTAGGAATGAGGAGCACACAACACAGTTAAAGTATAGAATTGTGAAATACTAAATAATATCTCTATCGTTAGCCTAATAACGGAGAAAAAACATAGAAATAAAGCTGTAGTTTATTTTGAGAGTAGAAACTAGGGTTGTAATTTAAATATTTTATTTAACCTTTATTTAACCAGGAAAATACCCATTGAGATCGAGTTCTGGCCAAGAGGTCTGTAGCACATGTCAAGGGCACTTTACAGAACAACAAAGATGATTTTGATAATCCATTAGTTCACATATTATTCTTCCGATTTATGGTTTGGACCTGTGTTTTCCGACCAATCCGCAGACCCCTAGGGGAATGTCAGGGTTTTACAGGGGTTACTTCAAATTTTTTTCAAAACATTGATAGTAAGAGGCTACTATCAATGGATAACAAGGGCTACTATGGCATGTTATATGTCATTTTAAAGCTAACTTTCCCAAAAGAAAAACCACACTAATGATTGCATTCTAAACATTGAACCTAGAACACAATCCATGATGATAATAATAATTGGTCTCAGGGCAGGTCAGCAGTAACAAGCCTGTCTTACTTTTAGTCCAGTCTTGGTTCAGTGAAGTATAAACTAATTTTGTTCAGAAATATCAAAACTCAACCTAAATTAAATGTCCTCTATAACGTAAAGAGATTCAGTGACTTTGTCACCTGGATATGAAAGTCTTCTTCTTCAGCTAAGCAAGGCTGGACCTGTTTAGTAATGTGATGGGAGACCTCTGGGAACACCAGGTGCCACAGTGAGACGGCTGTGGCTGTAATTGCAAAACTGTAGTTGTGTCCTGAGGCAAGACACTTCACCCACATGAGTACCTAGTATGAGTCGAATGTGCGTGTGAATGATTGGTGGTCGTTGGGCAAATGGCCCAGAGTGGCTGCCTAGCCTCTGCCAGTGTGCCCCAGGGTACCTGTGGCTACAAGTGAAAGAATAATGCTATGAAGCCATCTTGAATCTACACATGACTCTTTTATTGTGTATTTGGTCGACTACAGCCTTTCTTTTATCACATTTATCACATTTCATTTACTTTTTTGATGATATTTTGTGAAGCCTTATGACTTTTTTTTTTTACAGTTATACTTGTCATTAAAATTTTGAACATCCCATCACCATATTCTCCAGTGGTAAACATAAATGCCCTGCAGTGAGTACTGGATGTCTGATTCATTTAGGATTACAAGACCTGAAGAGCACATTTTTTTATTTTTTATTTTTTGGCTGCCTGGAGATGTCAGCTGCTCCTCTTTTATCTTTTTTGCTGATTTTTCTTTGAGTTTCTAATTAGCCAACATTAAATTTTTATGAATTGAAAACATGGGTTAGTATATACTGTTTGATAATCTCTTTGATGTTGGCACTAAATCCTTCATCTCTTCATTATTACCATAAGTAACAGACACCAAGTATTAGCTGGTACAAAGCTAACATGTATGATATTATATAAAGAATGAAAATAAAACTATAGACCTATCCTATATTTCTATGTTTTTGTTCAATGCAACATACTACAATTATTTAGGGCACACTTTAGAAGACAATGATTAGTGGTAATATGTTGAGATCTTAACCATGGATTAGTTTAAAGAAAGTTAATGTGGTGTACTAGGACCGTAATATGTTAGTTGATTCATTGTAATTAATATATCATTGAAATGGTTACAGTTACTAATTTACTAATACAAAATAATCCCATATTCACTGACCCTTATTGGGATTGAAACCACTGATACCCAATTCTCTTTCCCCCCTGGGTGTACCCCATCGCCAGTGTATACGTGACTCAAGAACCCCTTTTGTGTTTCACGTTCCTCAGGGGTCCAGCTCTGATCTCAGGCCGAAGCTGTTCTTAGGCTTTACTCGTATACCAAGGTCTCTATAGCTTCTTTTGGGAAAGTTGACTTATAACTCTTCTTTTTATATCTTCTATATTCCCATTACTGTATTGCATTGTATTTGTTTGTATTATACTGTATTGTGTTTTATAGGTATGTTTAGTTTGGTCAAGTTTTAGACTTTTCTGAACAAAATGAGTTTGTAATTGACTGAACCAAAACTGGACCAAAAGTAAAAAAGACTCAGAACCCCCTCTCACCCATTCAACGTAACAATAATAAACATACTGCTTACAATTATGATATTGTACAGTGCTTACAGTAATATACATTACCCTACCCAAAATAAAAGTAAAAAAATCAATGTGAGCCTTCTCATGCTCTGCTTCTCATGCTCTGCTTCTTATTTTTGCAGTTTTCACCTAATCAATTCAACTGTATTACAGACTCTAGGTCCAATTTAAAACATAAAGACAGGCAAGACAAATATAGAATAGCCACATTTTAGCTGCATGACAGTGATGAATAATAACATGTCGTGAAGTGTCTTGATGGAGGCCTCACAGCAGAACACCCTGTGCTCTCTTCACTTTGGGATCTTGGGAGCGCCACAACACTTCCAGGGTTAATGTTCTCCATCATAGTTAGTCCCATCTCGCCTTGTCACTGAAGTTGAGAATCAATTTAATTTGCATGTCTCTTGCGGATGTGCTCGAGAGCCGCACAAGCCGCACAGCCATCTGGATTAGGATTAAGGAATATGACTAGAAGGTTTGGCTGTCTCCCTCTCCTCCTCCTCCCATTTCCTTTCACTCTCAGTTGGAAGATTTTAAAGAAAAAGGAAATGTCTTAAATGTTTTTGTTTATGTTTCGATTGAAGTGCGCTGCATGCAAGCTGATAAGCAAAATACACAAGAATCCCATGTTGATAATGGCCTGTACAGTAATTATCTCTGAAGTGCACAATGCGACTTGTGTTAATTAACTTAAACCCATACTTTTGAACATTCAAAGCAGGAAACAGATGTACCTTAACCCTGGGTGTATACCGTATATTATGTTTTCAGAATAGAGCCACATAACATGGTGTCATATATGACTTTTGACTTAATATAAGGACAAGCAATAAACAAAACAGTAAAAATACGGGTTGAGATTCACATGTTTTATACAGTGTTTTTTTGGACAACATCTATAACTACACAACATTTTGCGCTTCTCTGTGCTATCGTGGCTTGTTGTACAAACGAGGACAACTAGGACATGTTCTGGAACAACTGGAGATTGAATAAATCTACAGAAACATGACAGTGGACAGAAAACTGGGTCTATCCATCCATTAACTCAAGTATTTGTGATACATCAGAACAGAACAGAATCTGTTAAGAGATCGATCATTGATACAAAAATACATTGCTAAATCCAAAAACAGACCAGGAGAAGGTTTTTCTTTCAAATTGTTTTTTTATGAAACTATCCATCCAGGGCGACAGTAGCTCAGTTGGTAGAGCATTGGCCTTAAGGCCAGAAGGTCGTGGGTTCAAATCCCACCTCTGCACCTTCTCCACCGACTCCCACTGATGACTGCTGCCGTTGTGTCCTTGGGCTTAACCCCACTTTGCCCAAAGCCCCCACTGAAAGATCAAGGCTATGCTCACACTCAGAGAGCAGCCGTCTTCCTGTGGACTCACCACCTGCAGAGGGTCAGTGAGGGGCTGGTGCTATGAGATTTGGGTGGCATCTCTGACTGCCACCCCCCTGACCCAGAAACTGATTAAAGGGTAGAAAATGGATGGATGGAATGTTCAACCTCAGCGCAATAAAAGCGTTTTTCATTCTATAACCTTTAATCCAAACAATGGGAGGTATGTCTTTCAAAAGTCTGTGTATCTCAGTCTTTCAGTAGATGTACTGATTTTAGGAGAATTGATATGTTTGGCGTTTATGTAACTTTTGGTTTTAAACGTTGGATTTTCTTGAATATATAGAGTGCCTTGGTGTTGCAGACAGTAGCTCCGCAGCCCCTTTTAGATATAGCTCCCTGAAGGATTTAGAATTTAACACATGACCCTGAATTATTACATTTTGTGTCATAACGTATCATAAGTATAAATGCGGGGTTAAACAGTATTATGGTATATTGTACAGGTGTGTTCTCAAGGTTTTACCACAGTTATAACATAGACTTTTTATTGTGACTGCAGAAAATAGTAGCCTCTTCAGTTGTTTAGTTGTGTAGTTTTCTGATTGAAAAAAGTTGGAGAGCGCTGCCTTACATTAACGATCTGATAACCAAACACTTTATTTTTCTCACTCGTTTTAATGAGCGATTATGCAACGCTACACACTTCTTCTCGGAGGAAACGGCTGCAGTTGGGATAACACCTGATGCCATACGGCTCCCTGCCACCCTGATGCATGTGGCACTCAGCACAGGAAAGGAGATTACTTCTGCCCCACAAATGTGTGTCAGCGCAGCGCTTTTCCCTTAATCATTCACTGTACCCATGATTGGATTTCTGTATTATTTCGACATGCAAAAAGTTTGTGATGTATGAAGGAGATATTCAAGGGGAACGAATGGGCATAATTGTGAATTTTCCTCGGCGTGTATGAGAATATGAGCCAAATTTGGACACATGGTGGTGTGTGGGAGTGTGGAGAAAAGGCACTGGATGCTAATGTAGTGCAGTAATACCAGATGAAAATGGTGATTGCTGCTATTTCAGTGTAATTCCTTGCTTCAATTAGACTGTTGAAGTGATTGATATTCAGTATTGTTCGCAAAAAAATAAGATATGGCTTAACATGTGTGCATGAGAGCAGCGTTGGCCTAGTTATGGTGGGTGTGTGGCTCGTTTTCTTGTCTTTTAAGCTGATGTCTAATTAGAAGATAATGTGCTTTTTATCACTAATATGATTATAATGCTGCTAATCATTTGTGCACGCTTCAGTGTGTGTGTTTGTGTGTGTATGTGTGCTTGGGTTGCTTTTGTGTTGCGGATGAAAGGAG